ACTGAGCCAAACCAACCAGGGCCAATTTGACTTTTCAAAGGTCGCAAATGCCTTGAAGAAGAAGTAAGCATCTCATTATTCATGTCACAGTAATTACATGAATTCATGTAATTCATGGGAATTACAACTCACCTCACCATTTTTTCCACGTTGTTCCTGTAACTGCCGACTCAGACTAATAATGACGCGTGTAGGTAAACAACCTGTTTGTATAAGAATCCTAGGAACAAATTTTATAAGGTATGAACTCTGACCTTCCCAGTTCTGGGAGATTGGCTGACCTTCAACATTAGAACCAGGAGGACAAAGTCCAGGATGACCCACACTGGACCAACACCTGACCACTTGTAAGACCCTTATCAGATTGGAATGTGCCTGTGGGCATGTAGAGAACTTCTCAAGCCCCGCCACCTGACATCTTTGCTCTGTTTGGCCTCTCCCTCCTTATAAAAGCCTCTGCCTGCACTGAGATGTGCAGATGGGTTTTGGGACGAGATTCCCCCATCTTCTCAGGTCACCGGCACCTGAATAAACCTCTTTCCTTCCTGACGACCACCTGTGTCCAGGGACTGGTTTCTGGGGTGTGAGTCAGTAGTACCTTGTTTTTCTGGACACATTCCTGGTACATGGACTCCAGGGAATATGTGTATCATGGTCATGTTCTTTCTTCTGCAGGTGACAGGGGGAAGCAGAGATCGGTCACAGAGGAAAGGAGCGAAGAATGGTGCTTTGCCTTCAGAGCAAGAAGAACAGGTAAGAAAAAGGTGGATGGGAGGAGGAGGACTATTTATTGGGGGAAGGAGTCTGATCTGAGGGAGGAATTTGGACTTTGTGGACTGAAGTGAGTTTAGCAGCAAAACCATACAGCTCTTGCCAAGAGCATGGCTGAGGTTTGGGGAAGGGAGAGATCATTCTATAAGTGATGTCATGAGACCTCAGGAATCCTACTTGCTGTTTCACCTGTCACTTGGTTCCTGTTTTCCTGATCAGCTATCCCAGGTGTCTGTCTGTCCCTGAATATTTTGGTCTTGCCTTTCTCACTAGCACTTGAGAAGCAAGGCCCCTGTTAAGAAGCCCACCTGGATGCAGACGATAGCTTTGTTCCTCTGCCAGCTGTTAAAGGTAAAGTATATTATTTGCATATTATTTGCATGGGGTGGGTTGTTCTATGGTTTGTGAGTTCCCTCTGAGATGATCAGAAAGAAGGTGGTGGAGTCAGGTCAAAAAGAAGAGTTGAGCCAACTACAAAATTTTAATTAAGAAAAAGAAAAGGAAAGGAAAGAAAGGACAAGAGAAGAAATGAAATGAAAATAAAAGAGCCCGACTCCCATGGCTCAGTTTTTAGCTTAAACAGAGGAACCAGGAGATGTGGATTCGATTCGCAGTCATGGCACATGCCCCGGTTACAGTCTTGATCCCCAGTAGGGGGCATGCAGGAGGCAACCAATCCGTGATTCTCTGTCATCATTGATCTTTCTTTCTCTCCCTCTCCCTTTCTCTCTGAAATCAGTAAAACTATATGTAAAACACGAAAGAATAGTCATGGCACAGTAAAGTAGAGCATAGAGTCAATGCAATTGTATATAATAAAAGGCTAATATGCAAATCGACTAAACAGCAGAATGACTGGTTGCTATGACACGCACTGACCACTGGGGGCAGATGCTCATGAGAAGAGCTGTCCAAACGGTGGTCAGTGCACTCCCACAGGGGGAGCGCCGTTCATCCAAAAGCCAGGCTCACAGGTGCCGAGCACAGAGGGGTTGGTGGGAGCCTCCATGGCAGCACTAAAGCGGGCCTAAACTGTCAGTTGGACATTCCTCAAGGGGTCTTGGACTGGGAGAGGCTGAAGGGTTGGCTGAGCGACCCCCCTGAGTGCATAAATTTTGTGCACTGAGACTCTAGTATTATTATAATAACTGTGTATGGTGTCAGATGGGTATGGGATTAATTCCATGATTTCTTAGTCCATTATATAATGTCTAATCATTGGCGTGTACCCCTGAAATGAACCGAAGGTTCTATGTTAACTCATTTAAAAATGTTTTTAAAATTCCATAGGACCATGTTACCTTCATAGCGTCATATTTTACTTTAAGGACTTTTGTACAGTTTGTTCGAGAAGAGAGCTCTAAAACTGAAAAGGAAGAAAAGTTGAGATTTA